TCAGGTGTTTTGCTGAATTTTTTAAAATCAGGTTGTTTTCTTATTGTTAAATATTAGGAGTTCTTCGTACATGTTGTATAACAGTTTTTATCAAATATATATTTTTGTTCATTCTCTGGATAGTCTTCTCATCCTCGTGATACTGCATTTCACTGACTAACAGTTCCTAATTTATGTTTTTTTTTTTTTTTTTCCTCTACCGGGAACCGAACTCACAACCTCGCATTGCCAGGCAGGCACTGTGCCGCTGAGCTAAATGCCCAGGCCCCTTTCTCCTTTTTCTCTTTGTTAAATAATAAATTCCTAAAATGCTTCTTTTTAATATTCTCATTTTTTTTTTTTTTTTTTTCCTCTACCGGGAATCAAACTCACAACCTCGCATTGCCAGGCAGGCACTGTGCCGCTGAGCTAAATGCCCAGGCCCCTTTCTCCTTTTTCTCTTTCCCTTTCCTTTCCAGAAGGCCAGGCAGTGAGTTGGGGAAAATTAGACATTTAAATTTTTGGTTGAAACACTGAAATCAAATACAAATTCAGAGCTTGAAAGCAAAATATTATCTGACTCACAAAAGGGAGCTCCAAAACCGTGGCTTAAATCTTTGTCTCTTTTCATTCACATAGCAGCTTCAGGCTACTGTGAGGCTTTCTGTACTAAAATAAATGTATAATCTCAGTAGAATTAGATATTTTTTGCTTTTTTTTTTTTAAGGAAACCTTAGCTTAGGCCAGTGTGAATATACCATACTGATTGTTAAGTAGCAAAGTCAGGCATGGTAAACTGCAGAACAGGTTATCCAGGGTACCAGGCTTCCATGTGGGCAATAAACTCTTTCCTTGTCCCTCCCTGGGGCCTCCATTCCACCTTTAGAATCGCATAACCTAACCTCAGGCTGCAGAGGAAGGGGTGGGACAGTGACATGGTAGCCAGGCTGTCTCTGCTCTTTCCTGAGCATGGTTTGGGTACAACTTTACCACTCAATTCCTTGAGTGGCAGGATCACTTGAGTCCTACTCTTTGCTGTGGACTCACTGTCCAGCACATAGTAGGTATTCAATAAATGCTAGCAGGACCCATGCTCCGAATTAGAAAGAGGGAAAGCTCTCAGACTTTGGTGTCCCTCAACCGAACATGTGGCAGTGGCTCTGTGGAGCTCCCATGTGGTCGGAAGGTCAGGGACATGTGGTTTGAGCATGAGCTGTGGGTCTGACCCACGACAATCTGTTATCTTGTGCAACCTGGACATGTCAATATGAAGGTCACAATAATGGCACCAGTATAACCCTCCCACAGGCCTTAAAGGAGAGAATATCCCCTTCTATCACTTTGGGTGAGTGTAAGGAACAGTAATTATGCCACTGCCATATACCTACACGGGAGCACAGACATTCCACTGGCATGCAGGCTGCCCTTGTTCAGTCCTCCAAAAAGTAGCCTCCAAGGAACTAGATCAATACTTCAGATCTTTCTGTGACCCCAGAACACATACCCACAGCTGTAAGTCATTCTTTCACAGGCTGCTGTCAAGTCATAGCATTACTTCTAAGCTATTCAAATATTTGGAAGTTTCACAAGAAAATCACAAAACCACACCTAGAAAATGTCATATCTTTGTGATTGTTCAGCTAAGAGGCCGCATTTCAGAATCCTGTTTTGCTGCTGACATATTTCCCCTGGACACAGATACTAAAGATGGACTTGACATCACCACATCAAACGAGCAAGAAAGCAGACAAGTGTACTCACCAAGGTACCCACAGAGCACCTGGGCCTGTCTGATGCACAAGCTGCCCACTGAGCCAGAGGGTGTTGTAACAACTGGGCAGACAGCTAGGAGTTTTAAAAAGCACAGTCATTAGCTATTTTACTGAAGAGATGCCCGGTACAGCACTATACAAAGATTCAATGTAGAAGAGGGTCTCTCTGAATGCTCCCACCACCCCTCCCAGAAACACAAGGCCCCTGCTACCCAGGGCCAGGGGACCGGACGCTAAGATCTTTGTTGATTCTGGATCTCCTGGCATCCCTCACTCAGCAATCAGACCTCTGAATTCACTTTCACTTTTATACACTTCAGCCTTAAAAATACCAATGTAGATTTCATGTACTGAAATGGCAAAAATAAATACCTTGAACTAAAGGTGAAAAAAGGCCTTCACCCACTTTGACAAAAGACAGCCCACCTGTTAAGATTAAAATTTGGATTTTCATTTGGCTGGCCTAGATTCCAGTCTTCTTAAAACCACCTGTCATCATTTTTTTTTTACCCACATATGAAAACTCTTTCTTGAGTGAGTCAAAGATACATGTGGATATTGGTTTGGAGCTACTTAACTACAGTTTCAAAAGTTAGAACTCTTTGAAATGGATTAAACATATCTTTCCAGGGAGTCATGACATCCTGAAACTCCAAGCTTCATTTTCTTTAAAGTAACAGCAAACAGATTTGGATATTACCCACCTCATTCTTAGAGAAGAAAATGTACCACAAAAGAATCTCACAGTGAAGGGAAAGCATTGCTGAGTATTCAAAGGTAGGACCTTTGCAAGAGCAGATGTGGATGGAAACCCTGTTGTCATTGATTTCCCAATTGTCACACAAGGCCTGAGTTTACCCAGGCCTCTGTGTCTGCCCTCTAAGTAGTTTTCATAAAATTAAAATGAGATGCTGTATTTAAGACTGACAAAGACAGAAAAGGGGATGGAGACATGTAATCATCTTAGTTACCTAACTGATATGAAGAAGCCCTGCCTGCCGCCTGCCTCCAAGGTCTGTCATGCACATTCTTCCATCCTGGTTCCTCACGCGGATTCGGAATCCATACACCTGCTAGTTACACAGGTGTGTCTCCTAGAAGTAACACTGCCATTGCTGGGTCATGAACGAAACCTTCTTCTGACAAAAGACAAAGGCCTCCCAGATTCTTCAATTGTTTGCTATATTTTTGCCGCAGGTCACCTGATTTTATAAAGGGTAAGAACAGCCTTTCTCATACCTCACCACTTCTAACATAGGGCTCACTTACAAGACATTAGCGACAGATATGCACACACGTGGATAATGTTTTCTAGCTAGAACACGCTCTAAGTGATATCTGGGGCTCTGCACGGCCAGTGTGGCGTGGAAGATGAGGGCCTATAACCAGTCTCTGTAAGCACACGCTACTGTCATGTTGTCACCATATGCGGCTCCAAGCTGACATCTGCTCCCATATGTTCCCACTAATAGGCACCGTGCTGTTTATTTTTAGAGCTTTTTCCAGTCTGATAGGAGACTATTCCCTCAAGTAACCAGTCAGCAAAGACAGGAAGCTACACTTGGTATAAATTGTTTGTCACAAGATTAGCAAGTCAAACAAAGTTTTCTCATTCATGCCTGACCTTTAAAAAGAAACGCTGAAAGTTCTCTTAAATAAAAGTCTGAAGAATAGAGCAGGAGGAAGGCAGACTGTAGAGCGAGTTGCTTGGTAGGAATACTTTTTCTCCAAACTATGGCCCTATGCATTTCTTGGGGGAATTTCAGTGCTTTTCCTGGGAAACAGCACCTTCTTCAGGCCAGTGTATGTGGTGGTACAGAAGATGGACTGTTCTGTCCTTGGAGTTCAGATCTCTTATATTGTCTAAGCTCACCCACGTTAGAGGAGTCCGTGGGAACAAGGCAAGATAACTACTGTCATTTGCAATTGCCACATGCAGTTCTTAAGCACGTACTTTTGGTTTACTTCCACTCTGCTATGAAGACGTGGCACTAAATTCTTTCTCTTTTTTTCATTTTTAAACAAGGCTGAAGGAAAGAAGGGAGCTTTGGTGCTGATCCAGTGCCTTAGGAGTTAAGATTATGAACACAACAGAGGCAGCAAGATGGTAATGGTAACTACTCGTGCCACAGAAAGAAGTCCTCTGGCTTTAAATAATCAATCTGTGATCATGCACATGATTGAAATGGTGCTATTGCATGGATATACCTTCTTTAGATCAATGAAATTATGGATATATGTGAAATATTTTGTAAAATATGAAACACTGTGAAAATGTGAGGCACTTAGAATACTTTTTTTTTAAATTTTTTTGTTTTGTTTTGTTTTGTTTCTGGTACCGGGAATCGAACTCACGACCTTGTGCTTGCCAGGCAGGCGCTGTGCCACTGAGCTAAATCCCTAGCCCCTAATACCTTTTAGAAACAATACCTTTTAGAAGAATTTAGTCATTCGCTATTAATAATAGGAAAACATGAGTCATATCAGTCATAAAATAGGAGTCTAGAATTACAATTTTGCATGAATGATCTAGAATACAACTAGATGACTATGACATGAAGAAAAAAGTGTTAGGGATCATTTTTCCCTATGATGACATAACGAAGGAAAAAAAAGCAACATAACAAAACTACAGTGCTTCCAGAGTATCCCTGAACCACCTGCCTGAGGATCATCTGGCCTTCATCCAGAATGCAGGTTTCTAAAATCCACTTTAGCATTACTGAATAATACCCTAGACTGGAGTAGGAGACAAATGGTCTGAGAATTTATAATAAGCACCATGGGTGATTGTTTTGCATGGCAAAATTTGAGAACTAGTGGTCCAGGTCTTTGTGACTTAAACTAGAAAGGCCCTTTACCTCATTTGGCCTCAAGAAGTCCCCATCTGGTAGATCAAGGTAAACTTAACCCATCAAAAGGGACACATGCTCCGAGTAAGCAATGATTTTGTATCATGTAAGCATGTCCACAGCTAAAGTCATCTTTGCTACAATATCTTAAGCAGATTCAAATGCCATTAAAGATGCACAATACGCTGTATAAATTAGCTCTTCTCTCAATTCTCCCAACCCCTCCGTACAAAGAAGGTATCTATCTCTTTTAACTATAACAATTCTACAACTGGATACTATCATTTTATCCCAATACTAAACTACAACAAGGTTCTATTCTTCTTAGAGAATTCTTACTAACTAAGGAAAGGAAAACTGGTTCAAACATATAACGATTTTGGATCAGAATCACTCAAGACCTGCTTTTTAGAATCTGAGTCCTTGTGACTAAGAATTAATGAAATGAGACATGACTATATGCAGTTTCACTGCTGATGATGGTATTTTCTGACAGTGGAATTCTCCTGAAATATATCTCTTGACAAATGAGCACCACTCACCTCATTTCATGGAGTAATTTTACTAGGTGAGACCTCACAAGTTTACTACGTGAGACTATGGTAGTTCACTGATCTGACCAGGAACTTTAGTTAATATTTTTAACTACCTAAGGCTGACTGTTATGCAGAGCTACCAACAAGTAACTGAATTACTACTAAAGTTGACATGATTATTAAAAAAGGACTCAAAATATCTCAGATACAAAAACAGAGTGGGGACAAATGCCATTAATCTATGACTGTGAAGTTAAACAGACATCTCTGAAAGTGGGATCTGCTGCTTCAGCACCTAAGGCAATGGCTGTAATTCAACTTTGGTTCTACCTGACGACTTGATTGTTAAGTTTGGAGCTTGGGAGCACTCCTTCTGCTTAAACACCAGAGTTCAAAATCCCACAGGACACACACAGATTTGGAAAGATTTACCAAGAGAAAATCCCAAGAGACCTCCAAGGGTATGGTTCATTCACTAAATCAACTACCCTTTGGAAATAAATGTCTTCCATCTGTGATTGGTTTTATCTCCTTGTAAAGTAGAATCAGAGTAAGTCATCCACCTCTTCTTTCTCTTGGACTTTCTGAGCCAGCAGCTTAACTACAAAAATTCATTACAGAGCTATATGTGGTGGCATACACCTGCAACCTAGCTACCAGGTTGGCCAAGTCAGGAGGATTGCAAGTTTGAGGACAACCTAGGCAATTATGAAGACCCTGTAGAAAGAGTGAGGGAAGGGAGGAAGGAAGGAAGGAAGGAAGGAAGGAAGGAAGGAAGGAAGGAAGGAAGGAAGGAAGACAGGAAGAAGAGAGGGAAGCAGGGAGGGAAGGAGGGAAAGAGGGAGGAAGGGAAGGAGGGAAGGAAGAAGAGAAACAGGGAGGGAGGGAGCGAGGGAAGGAAGGAGGAAGGGAGGAAGGAAGGGAGGGAGGGAAGAAAGGAAGAAAGGTGCAGGGGAAAAGCACTTGCAAGGACCTGGGTTGAATCCCCAGCACGATATAAAGCAAACAGAAATGACTAATCATCTAGAAAATGAGATTAAGCCAATAAGCTAGGAAATCAATGGCCAAAAAAAGTATCCCCCAAATAGAAGAAATGAGAATAATCTCTGATAACCTTGGTGTATGAAGTACTAAAATTATTAGCACCAGGGCTAGGGATTTAGCTCAGCGGCACAGTGCCTGCCTAGCAAGGGCAAGGTCATGAGTTCAATTCCTGGTACCGGAAAAAAACTAAAACTAAACTAAAATAAAATAAAATAATTAGCACCAAAATGAATCCAGAACTTCAAAATTAAATTGTATTTCCCAGAATATTTCCTATTTATGTTTTGGCAACAGTAAATATTTCAGTGCTTTTAAAATCTATCGAAAAATCCACAACAATCTTTTCACAGAGAGATATGGAAAGAGCAGTGAGTGGACTTGTCATGTCAGTGTCTTTCTTAGAAGAAATTGAATTCTTGTTCACCAGATGAAGTAACAAATAAAGACTGTTACAACAGCCTCAAGTTATGAATGAACGGTTATCTGTGAACTAGCTTGTCAAGAGAAATATGGTATTTGTCAGTGTGGAGTGGGTTTGCTAAAGAAAGCCAAGAGAACAGAGCCAAGGTCTAAGACACAGCATATTTCTTTTTCTTCCATGAGACAGGAAAGATGCTACAGTATTTCCTAAGACAATTCCA